CACACATCACCATTGTCATGATAGCCAAATCTCGTACCATTCGACAATGGCCAGACATCACTATCCCGTGAATGGTACGCAAATCTTCGTCACCCGATGGTTGGCCAGTCCCCACCATCGTCTGGTGACTCGGATGTCGGTGTCTGGATCCCTTCGGCAGGCCTCGCTCTCCAGCTCTGCTGCACTCAGCTCAGGGATCCTTCATTAACCGCATATTCCGTGGGCGACGGCACCGACCACCTATGGCCACGAGCCCGTCCCCTTCTATCTCCTGAGAACTAACTAACATAAAATATTTTAGTTTCCCATAGTTTCCTATTCAATGGCCGCAACCCAAGGTTTCAGCCGGTCGGCTGCAACCACCGTTTTGGCCTTTCTACCTCTCTGTCTCAAATCCTCGACCTCGTATCGGTCGTTACCAAGTACACGATGGATCCGGAACGGCCCCTTGGCATCACCAGATCCTCTTTCGGGTACTGCGTTGACTGCTTCGGTCATCTTCAGCCCAACAGCTCATAGGCATCCAGTAGTGACCAGCGTCCACTACTGACCCAGCCGTTCGTAACAATCACGCAGTGGTGATCAAATTAGCACCACTGCCGTAGTATTGGTCTCTTCATCGTCTGAGAGCAACCAGCTGTCACTCCCAGCCCGATGGCAGGCAAATCATCGATGTTCAGTAGTGCCCAGCGTCCACTACTGACCCAGCAGCAGAGTCATGACTATTCACCAGCGGCTAGACATCATTGCTGCAACTCACGGCCTTCCGGCAACTCTCGGTGACGAACTCGTATCCGTCGACACGGTAGATGGTTCTACTCTGTAATCAAAGGCCACCACATCCGTAACAAACCTCACAACTATGGATTATTACCTGTTTGGGATGCGTGCACTCGGTTCTTGGGTCATAGCTCGGTTTATTCGACCGCCGCTATCCAAGACTTCAGTCGCTCCGCCACAATAAACAGCTTCGCACGCCTTCCCCTTTCTCGAAGGTCTTAATCGTAGCGCCTTTTCCGAATACGTAGTATTCAAGACACCCTACATCGTCGTGGTACAAGCAACAAATTTTTCCGACGGCGCGTGCGGTCACGCGGCACTTTTCGCGCCACACTTCGTACTCGATCACTGGGACACTCTTCCCGTGACGATTCCCGATCGCCGTCCATCGAATCATTCCACGAATATCGTCGCCGATCATTTCGCGACACGTCGCGTTTTCGCTTCCGCAAACCATTTCGACCTCTCGAACGATCTTGATCATATTTCGGGGACTCACTCCGTGCCCGAGAACGATCCTCCGATCCGTACGAGAGTCGTCCTCGCGAATCATCTCGCGAATGATCGCGCACTCCTTCACTCCGCGATCCTCGCTCTTTGGATTGTTCACGTTCGCGCGAACGTCCCCGTGAACAATCTTGTGCACGCTTCTGTGATTTTTCACCTGATCGACCCATTGTTTGTCGCTTTACACCAGGCACAAACACAGTCACTGCACTATTCCGTAATTTGACACTGGCATAATTGCGTGAAAACGTCAAAATTGCACGACAGTGTCACTCGCGATCACACAAATGTTCGCGAAAAGGACACGTGATACATCCCACTTCTGACTTGTAAGACGATTAAATGAATGCAAGAATAGAACGACGAAATTCTTTAACAAATGATATTTTATTTCGATGAGCTCTATTCTCGACGATAGCTGGCCAAGAAGTGACTTTCCCGGCCTGGGAAAGTCTCTGCGTAGCCCCGTCAATGAACAAATAAATAAACAAATAAAAGCATCTAGCAAGGTTCGTTGAATGAATTGTTAGAATATTAGGTTGTAACGCTGCTTGACCCCGGGTACGAATCACGATTGATGTATTTTTTTTTATTTCAATTTTCGGTAATTATAGAGAACAGGTACATCCTCACCGATTTCTAGGATTTTTGAATATGTTGTAGAAATCAACATTGTGAATAACTTGTTCCTAAACATATAACCGTCGCTCGGCCTTGATTTCCGAGATATTTGCAAAATATCATTGCTACTACTACAATGAATATTGCGTATAGCTACGCGTCTGTGGCAGCATGTGTGTAAGCGTTCAGTCGTCGATTGTTTAGGCTCGGAATACACGTACGCGTCTGTGGGTTCCCGTAATTTCAATGCGTATAATTTTCGCGCAAAATCCTTTTACAAAAATTGAAAAGCATATATGAAAAGCATAAACACCCCTCAGGCTAACCGTGTACACATCTGAGTGGTGTGCTGCAGTACTCGTTGTTGGGGGCTTCGTCACCAAACCCCCGACCGGGAGCGAGCCCCCGGAACCCCATTTTTTTACTGTACGAATACAGATCATGCGCTACTTTATATGTATAAATGAATTCGGAACAGATTGAAACACGAGCCGACCAGCGAATGATAGCTAACGCATACAGACTCACAGTCGCGTATGTGTATTCCGAGCCTAAACAATCGACGACTGAACGCTTACACACACGCTGTCACAGACGCGTAGTTATACGCAATATTCATTGTTGTAGCAGCAATGGTATTTTGCAAATATCTCGGAAACTAAGGCCGAGCGACGATTATATGTATAATTGTTCAAAATGTTGATTTCTACAACATATTTAAAAATCATCGAAATCGGTGAGGATGTACCTGTTCTCTATAATTACCGTAGAATTAAATAAACAATTTTGCAGTTGTGAATCTAAAGCATTCATTCGATGTACATTGTGATTAAAAATTTTGTTTCTACTGCTTTTTCGAAAATTATCACCCAAGTTCATGAACATCATAATGGAAATTGTTTGTTTTAAAAAATATATCCGAACATTAGTTATAAATAAGTCATATTTAACGAATGTATTTTTAAAAGAAAGTGAAAAAAAAGAATAGTGTAAGACGGAACTCGAACTCGCGACAGAGGAATTATTATGCTGATGCTTTACTGACCACACCGAATTCACTATCGACAGAGTCACTTATAATTCGCCAAGTAAGCAGCAATAATAACTTCAATGTTGAATATCTCGTAAACTATAAATCGTCTGCCCCTAAAATTGAATATCATTCGCTTCAGTTTTCCACTGTGCAAAGATCAAAAAATTAGCGTCATATCTGGGCCCTCTCTTTCTTCTTCATCAAACTGTCTCTTTCTACTTCGTCGACGCCTTCAAACTTTGGACGGATTCGAAACTGATCGAAACATTTGGTTACACATACAATGTACGTAGGTATAATAACTAGCCGAGGTGTCGATTCTAAGTTTACGTGCGGCTCCAGCCGAGCGCAAACATAGAAAGAGACAGAGAGAGGAAAGCGAAAGAGAGAGGAGCGAGAAGAGAGAGAGAGAGAGAGAGAGAGAGAGAGAGAGAGAGAGAGAGAGGCACGAAGCTAGGAACCAAAACATATCGGCGGGCGCGAGACAATACTAATGTAACAATAAAACTTTTTTATTTATTAATTTTTTTAAATCTAACTTTTTCCAGTGTATTTGTAAGATTTTTATGATTACAATGAGACCAAACACGATATACATACAGCGAAACAGGAAAGTATTCGGCTATTTGTTTGTATTTTATATTTCATATTATCTCTTATATCAAAATTTTTTTTTATAAATTATACAAGATGTTCGGCAACCGAACAAAGTATAAAATAAGAATAAAAAAAATACACAGCAGCTTGGGATCGAACTAGCGATATCTTATGTACTATACTACGATCAGTGATACCAGCCAGGCCAAGTTTTTTCGCCCATGTACTGCCAGAATGACCGTCAACAGTGTCGTAGCCAGGGTAACAAGTGTGGGATGCTATGGCTATTGTGGCTATGAGCGCGAAAATCATGAATATATTTGTAAAATTATGCAGGGGTAATTAAGATACACCTTTTTAGTCGTGCGTATACTTCATTGATGCCATGTTCGCTGCGCGTGCGCGAAAAAACCCGGCCCGACTAAGATACCTGCGAACCAAGTCGAAAAGCGTGTTTAGATGGTCGACACGGTAACAGAAAGGAAGACGACGACAGCGCTGCGGTGGAAAGCACGATATTAAGGCAGCTATGTTGGCATATGAATCGTCTCAATCGTAGCGACACCACCAATGTAATTTTATGAGGCGAGGAAGCAACCTTTTTGATTTTTTTTTCAAACTGTTCCTTGTAAAATGCTGTTGCGGGGGACAGTTACAGATTTTTGGAAAAAGACCCACAACAAATATCTTGTCTTTAAACGTATTTTTAGCACGTTTCAAAAGCGAATTGCAAAATGTGTAACTGTCCCCCACAACGGTATTTTATAAGGAACAGTTTAAAAAAAAAAACAGCCGGAAGGGTCGCTTCTTCGCCTCATAAAATTACAATAACTATTTGGAAAATTGCAAACGTTTGACATCATTCTGTCTTTGTCTCTCCTCCGATTGATGTATCTCCCTCTCTGTCACAGCATCATTAGAGAGACAAGGATCTATCTATCCTTGCCCCAGAGCTTCCTACTTTCTCCGCAATTGTCGCTGAAGTCAACTCGGAGTTGCAACCCTTAAGGGTGCGCAGGACCCAGAGCCAAACTCCGAGTGACTTCAGCGACAGTTGCGGAAAAAGTAGAAAACTCCGGGATAAGGACAGAGAGAGCGATACAAAAATTGCAGGAGAGACGAGAACAGGACGATTAGGCTAGCATGATTTTTTTTCCAGGATATTGAAGCAAAGAAGCAATATTTTCTAATAATTCTGGTTTTAATATATTCATTACACTTTGGCGGATGCGACTCCAAGACCTGATTTTGCAATTTCGGCCTTAAAACTTTATAAACAATAAAATAAAGGTAGCAAACATACTTTTTGTATGTTTGAGAATCCACGTCACAGCACTTAAAATAAATTAGTGAAACTAAAAAAAAACCTTAAATGCGCCATCTAACAGCTTAATTGTAATGTAATATACGAATTAATCATTGATCTATAACTTATAGAAAACAATCGATCTTGATCTTTCAGGCCATCTGGCGGTTGTTCTATGATTCATGAAAGAGGTCTCTACACTGCTCTACACGTGTTCTGTATACAATTTCCCGCCAAAGGTAGATACTGTTGCGGTAATGGTTTTCGGTCATTTGTACGGATCTATTTATTAATATCTGCAATGGAAGATAATAAGAAAACACACGGTTGGGACTATGAAAAAAGTATTTTACTTTCATATTATTAATGTAATATTAATGTAATTTAGTAATATAAATTACTATACTAATATTAATGTAAAGTAATGCTATATTAATGTAATTTACTAATAACTACATTAATGGGTCGTCTTTCTCCTACAGATAAATTACTAATCAAATTAGTAAAGCGTAAACCTGAGCTCTATGACATCAACATTCCAGAATATGGGGACACCACTCTTAGAAACGACGGGTGGCATGCTATTGGCATTGAATTAAATGAGAATAGTGAGATAGTTTATTGTTTTGCTTCTTCCAAATATTTATGATAGTACAAAATCATAGAAGTGATGTAGTTCAATATTTATAGTGTTAACATAGCGTTAATAATTTCATTATGAATGAGATATCAATGCAAACTATTTGCATTAAGTAATAAAGAACTGTATGATAGTCTTAGAATTTATTATCATCTTTGTTTATTTTACAGTAAAATAATTACACATATTAATATCTTATTTATAACAATATAATGCAGACTGTAAGTGTAATTTGTAGTGCATCAAAATATTTACTTTATTCTATAGGTGCAAACTGTAGTAAACGCTGGAGAAGCTTAAAGCAAAACTATCGCAGATATGTCAACGGACAACAACCTGTAAGCACGAAAGGTGGAAGACGTATCTGCGTTTATGAAAAATATATGTCTTTTATGAATAAATTTATTGTAAATGGAAAATATGGAGCTGCAAAAAAGAAAAAATCAAGAGGAAACAAATCAAAAAGAAATGAAATCATAAACACAGATATGGACATTAAATACTTTGAGGATACCACTGGTAATAATAATACGAAAGTATTAAAAAAAAAAGAAAATATAAAGGTGGATGAAAACAAATGGTTTAAGGACTCAAGTGACAATAACGATTTAAGAGAAAGAAAAAAAATAAAAGAATTTATGGAAGTGGATGAAGATGTAAAATTTGTCAAGGATATCGGTAGTGATCATAATATAATAGTACAAAAAATACAAGAAATAATAGACACAGATGGAGATGTAAAATCTGTTAAGGATATCCACAATGATAATAGTGTAAGGGAATCAAAAAGAGAAAAAAATACAGAGGTAGTAGAAAATGCTAAATGTTTTAAGGATATTGGTAGTAATAATAGTACAAGAGTATCAAAAAGAAACGAAAGTATAAATTTAAATGAAAGTGCATGGTTTCAGATTTCCAATTCTGATAATGATTTAAGAGAATCGAGAAGAAAAGAAATTATAAAAGTGGACGAAGATGTAAAATATTTTATAGATATTGGTAGTGGTCATAATATAATTGTACCAAAAATAGAAAAAATAGAGTCGGATGAAGATGTTAAACCTAGTAAGGATATCCACAATGATAATAGTGTAAGAGAATCGAAAAGAGAAAAAAGTACAGAGGTAGTTGGAAATGCTGAATGTTTTAAGAATATTGGTAGCAATAATAATACGAGAATGTCAACAAGAAAAGAAAGTATAAACTCAAATGAAAATGCATGGTTTCAGATTTCCAATTCTGATAATGATTTAAGAGAATCGAGAAGAAAAGAAATTATAAAAGTGGACGAAGATGTAAAATATTTCATAGATATTGGTAGTGGTCATAATATAATTGTACCGAAAATAGAAAAAATAGAGTTGGATGAAGATGTTAAACCTAGTAAGGATATCCACAATGATAATAGTGTAAGAGAATCGAAAAGAGAAAAAAGTACAGAGGTAGTTGGAAATGCTGAATATTTTAAAGATATCAGTAGTAGTGTTAATCCAAATAAACCAAAAAGAAGAAAAACTATGGAAGCGAATGAAGATGTTAAATCTATCAATATGGAAAATGTTAATAATCTGCAAGAACTAAAAACAGAAGAAATTATGGAAATAAATGATGACGTAAAGGATTTCAGTAGCTTTAATAACTTTATAGAACTAGGAAGAAGAAGATTTATAGAGGCAAATGAAAACAATAAATATTTTAGAAATATTTGTAGTGATAATGATGAAAGAAAACTAGAAAAAAAGGAAATTATGGAGTCAGATGAAGATATTAAATGTATTAAAGATATCAGTAGTAGTAAAAATGTAATTGAGTCAGAAAAGAAAGCAATGATAGAAGATTACAGTCCCTTAACTCAGCTAGTAATGTGTAAGCGTAAAAGGATAATGCCTACAGAAAATGCACCTACAAAAAGCACACCACAGAATATAACAAAATTTTTAAAGCAGAATAAGAATGAAGAAAATGCCACTCATCCCATCGATACCTTTTTCTCACTAATGGCACAAAGTGTTAAAACTTTTAACTCTGCAGACCAACATTTTGTAAAGACTAATATCTTTTCATTAATAACCAAATTAGAAGAGAGGTATATATTGCAAAATCAGCAGCTCCCTACTTACCAACATTCTTCTTAGAATGCACTTTAAGATTGGCACTAAACCTACCACGACTGGTTAAATGACTGTTTACAAACATTTATACACAGTTTTCATATACAATATATGAATTATATTCAATTATTTCATGCATTATTCAATTTAATTCCACATAAAATATTTTTGGATTTAATTGAAAAAAGTGTTTTTATGACCAGCCATTTACCCATCATGATAGAGAAATAGTTACAAATTAACGTTAGTAGATTTAGTGTTAATCGTATTATAAGCTTACTTTTTTTAATAGTACTTGTGTAGTAGTATTCCTTTATTTTTTTGTTATTTTTATCATTGTTTAAAGATTCATAAATAATTATTGATAAATAACTTGTGCAATACTTTTCTTCACCTTTGCATGTTCTAAATTAATATTACTACTTAAACATTCTCATACGAATATTATACTTACGTCGAATGTAATGAATATCTTAATGTAGCTATTTGGTCCTATTTAAGAACTGTTGGATAAAACTGTGGATTGATATGAGCCTGTAATTTGGTTTTGACAATTGTGCAGATTTGTGTCAAAATCAGAATTACTATCAACATTTTCTTTAATTGTATTCATATCTACAGTAATTAATAGAGGACAATGAGGTAATATGACAATCCCCATGCTTGTTTTCATTATAAATTATTGAAGTATAAAATCTATTCACTTTTGTTTGATGAAATTGGAAGATATATCTACTTCTAATTGTACGGAACTGAACGGATACGGCATTGACACGTTACGGATATGGGTAACTAAGTAGACTTTAATGCGTGCATTTACGCGGACAGACGATACAAGACTGCCGCCGGAACAATCGAAAGGACAGAAAACTGTGCCTCCGACGTGTAGAAATACTTTGAAATGTATGTGTCTATGAGTATCGATCGTTTTGGCGATGTCACACATTCACTATTCTTACAAAAATTGATATCTCGATAAATACAAACAAAGAAGACAAGAGAATATTATTATCCCAGAACAGAAATGTAGATAAGAAAACTTTAATTTTCTTAGTATCTTAGAATTTTATTGTGTATTGCTCAAAAATATTCTGGAAAATGAGCATTATGAGAGACATTTTTCAAAATTAACGTATTTCCTTTAAAAATACTGATACCTTTCCACTTCTTTTCATTTCATCATAAAGTGTATGTAGTTTTATATGAGAAAAAGAGCTAACAAAATTTGAACTTTTGCATAAACATCACTATATTGTTGAAGATATTAAAATCAAACCAAATTAAAAGTAAAACGAGAAACAAAAGTATATGGGACATTCCACCCCAAATCGGACGGTTTGAAAACATTTTTTTTTAATTTTCTTAATTTTTTGGTATTTTTTAGTACCCCTCAAAAGAGACTTCCCGGTAAATTTTGAGTTTATTTTTATCACTGGTTCAAAAAATATCGAATTTTTAGAAAAACCGCTCTTTTTTTTACTCATAACTTTCTTAATAATGATCGAAATTCAATTGTTTTCTTGTTCAAAATTTTCGTATTTAGATGGCCTTTAGAGAAAAAATACAAAAAAATATTTAAAGCGTTTCTAATCGAGATTTTTTAATTTTAAGTTTTCAATCGTGTTTTTAAAACTGTGTGCATCCTTCGATTTTCTTTTTTAAACTTCTATCTATCCTGCAACTTTAAAGCCCGGTCCGGTAGTGGGCTTTCCATAATTATTATCATTTTTTCGATGTTTATAATTAAAAAAATTTTTTCTCGCTATACATTATTATTAGTACCGATTTTTGACACTGTATACTTTTTTTTTGTTACTTACTATAAATTGATTTCGATATTTGTTTGCTCTGAGTAGGGATTTAAAAGCAGTAAGTAAAAGTTAATTCTATTTATGAGCAATTATAACAAACGTTTTTATTTATTTTCGTGTTGAGATGGTCGTCCTGAGATAGTTTTTCAATGCTTCGCAATGAGAAATTTTAATTGTCTTAGTTTGATATTTTTTCCTACGATTCCATTTTTATACTAAGTATTAAGAGGATTTAAATGAAAATTTCAACAAGTTTTATTAAAGTTAGACAAATCGTTCAGCAAACAATTCAAATCCTAATAAATTTTTTGCAAAATTTAATACGAGCATAATTCAAATGGCGAACATAAGAAAAGCTCTAGGTTGATCAAATAGAAGTCGTTGCAATTTTCTACGAAAATGGAATACGGAAAAAATGCCGATCGATGTATCGAAAGCTTGGAGATTTCGAGGTTGATCGTGTGGAACCCTCAGCGCGCGGATGGACGTGCAAACAATGAGAAATGGGTAAATGGAAGAAGAAAAGAAATAGGACGGAAAATGGCATGTTGCATTCGTATAAAAGCGGAAAATGAGATCTGTTAGTGATTGCGTTTTTTTTCCTTCAGCGATATTTTCAAGCAGAGAAGTGGGAAGAGTAAACCGAAAGACAAAAAAATGGCAGACGTTTAATTATCTCGGGATGTATGAGATACATGTACAGTTAGTATAAGAAGTATTCGTACAGCAACCCATTTAAAATAAATGGTTCCTGTACGAATACTTATTACACTGATTGCATGTCTTTTTATTATTAGGTTGTCCCAAAAGCTTCTTTTATTTCATTAATAAGTAATATGTACACACTATTTTATGTTTAATGTTACATTATCGAATTCCGTACGATTCATTTTGCTCCGTTACTGTTACAATATTAACATCTAAGAAATTAGCTTGTCTATTTATACAGACTGTCCCAGAATTAGTGTAAGAACCGGTAGTGAGAGGTAGCTGAAACGATTCTGAACCACAATTTTCTTTGCGGAAATGTCGGATGGGGCTTCGTTTTTGAATTATTAACGAAAAACCATCGACCAATTATAGCGCGCGAGAGGCGGGCCCGAGGCAGGACGATTGGGTCAGCCATTGGGCCAGCCACCGGCCCCTCCTCTCGCGACTGAGCGCGCGCTACTCGGGCGCTGAGATTGGTCGATGGTTTTTCGTTAATAATTCAAAAACGAAGCACCTCACGACATTTTTGCAACGGAAATTGTTGTTCAGAATTGTCTCAGCTACACTCCATTTCCGGTTCTCACGAAAATTCTGTGTCACCCTGTATGCCACACAAAATAACTGAGTGCAAGTCACTGACTTTTGGGACAACCCAATAATACCTGTCATCTATACGCGGATCAAGCACTTTTCTATTGTCTCTCGGATACGTTGATTTATCGAAAGCGGAATTTACCTCTTCCGTTTCCATTCCGTTCCCTATTGTGACATCATGTATCAGGATTATATAGGGCGAGTCTCGTAATTGAAATGGATTGTGTCGCTTTTTTGATTAAAAATAGAAAAAAAAATGGTACACGGAAAAGTTGAACGCTATGGCACGGTATAATTTCGCATGACCATGAAGCATTCGCAAAATACGTACAGTTACGTTTAGAAAAAGGAAACCAAATGTACATTTCTTGTTCAAGTTTATACGAGGTAAAAACTAAAATATGTAAATAGTACTTGTTCATATCAAAAGTGGGCTTTTAAAGAAATTTTGGGATATTATTCATTAAAAAAAAAATGTTTCTTCTTAAAGTGGTCCTTTCCCAACTGTACTAGTCAAAACAAAACTCAAATATAGAAAGTATTAATAACGATATATATTTTGTAATAAAATTCTTAAATTATTATTTGATTATGATTTTTAATAAAAAAAGAAGTAGTAATTGATACAATTACAGTTGCAATTAGTTTTTAAGTATTATTTTATTCAGCGTATTAGTTGTGAAATCGAGGATAAGGCAACTTCGCATTTCAATTTTCGTCAGGTTAAGTTACGAGTGAGAGATTGACGTTCCAAATTCTTTTTGACGTTTCAAAGCAATCATGAAATATAACCATGTTTATATGCGATGTTGTTACGTTCCCGAGACAGAAATCTGCATGAAAAAATATCGTACTCGACTTCTTTTTCTAATGCATATTGCTCTGGTACTAAACGAGCAAGTTTGGCAAAATTGAAATATGTTATTCTACATTTATTAATTTGCTTTCCATTCATTTTTGGTTTCGATCTGCCTTGTACAAATTTTTTTACAGACTAAAGTATCATTACAAAGTTTCTTTTTTTCCGTCGGCTGCCATAAGCCTCCTGTCAAATTCGACGAAAAATCTCGAAATTCGAGTGATCATATCTAACAAACTAAACGGTAAATTGAACCCATATTTCTGAAAGATATGTATTAAGATGTAAATTTTGAGTTTTCAAAGTTATAAGACGATCTGATTTGTTGTTATTTTTGACCAAACCACATTGATATAGAAAAATATTAAATAAATTCATCTTGTATCGAGAAAATAATATAAGGTGGCATTTAAAAAATATAAGGTGTCGCGTTAAGGGGATAGACACGGGTAATGCAGCGAGGTGACATTACCGGCAAAACTGGGCGTAAAAAGCGAAAAATCGTAAAGGCATTCCCAAACTCGAGTTCCACTATTTTGTGGATAATGGTAGAGCAAGTCGCGTACCAAATTTAGTTCAGGAAATCGGTATGAGATGGTGGTTACTGAGGACGACTGCTAACGTGAATGTCGATACATTGCGACGTTGTCATTCTGGCATAACAGCGTCTATCCTTTCCCCACGCTGCGCTGTTGCCATTTTACTGAAGTCGAAATATTCTTACATTTGCCGACGTCGACAGAGCATAGGAACAGACAGCCGAAAAAGAGTAAAAGAAAACATTTACAAGCCTAGTATCATAACCAATTGTCATAACAATATCGTGTTTGGTCTCACTTTAATCAGGAAACCCTCACCAATATGTTAGTGAAATTTGTATTAAAAAAAAATAAACAATAGAAAAAGTTAGTTTGTCGCATTATTGTTTCACAGATTAGTAGGCATTTAAATTTTTTACGGTCACCTCGACTCTCACATGGAATGTTTTTTACGTGTCCTTCTTCGATTGGTTTGATTTTTGGATATGTTTTAAAGGACCGAACAATAAGATATACGTATTTTTTTATTTTGGCCCGTTTTCATATTTAGGGAGTGAAACGACCTCCTAAAGTTTGAGCTGCAATAGGCTATCTCCGAAACTATCATAGATAGAAGTAAACCTTTTAAGAAAAAGTTTCGTGCTTTTCTATCTGCATATAAAACCTGGCCTTCA